TCTTCACTCAATGTCGTACATGATCGCCCCAAGAGGGCCAACGCGGCCCCCAGAAACATTGCAAAACAAAAAACCAAGAGGCGCCGAAAACGCACCAAAGAAGCTACCAAGAGGCAACGAAGGGGCCCGAAAAGGGTCCCCCCGAGCTGCCAAGCGGCTCGAAATGTCAAATGAACCGCGGAGAAGTCGCCAAGATGCCTGGGTAGGCTCCCCAAAAGCCCTCAAGAGATGTCCCAAGAACCTCCATGCATCCAGTGAACCACTGGCTTTTCTGTTCGCCAACCTCCCTTTTGTGTGCCTTTTCCCCTTCCCTCTCCTTTCTCCCTCCTCCATCACCTTCCCGTTTCGAATGATAACGGCTGCCCCTCCTTGCTCCCGCACTTGCCTGATCGCACCAACTCGCATGGGCATCGTTTCTAGATGAGCTGGTTGGGGCACGGGACGCGTCAAGCACGTCTCCAATTGCTTTCCATTCGTGCCTGACACTGTCACGAATGTGGCCCAAGCCACACCCCTGCCCCCCCTTTGTCCCATCTGCTCTGGGACACCGCCTGCTGGAAGAGATCAGCGCGCTCACCGCACGCGAGACGTGAGACAGCACTCCCCGCGCCGCCGACCCCCAAAACGGACCGTGCCAAAAACGGAACGGGAAACCCTGTCGCAGAAGGAACGACATGGTTGACCAACAATTTCGCGCCTGTGCCTTGATCAATGAGAACGGGCCAAGCACCGCCTCACAGCACAAGACACACTCGAGCCGTGTCCAGCCAAGGCAACGAATGCCCCCGACAACGCGACAAAACCTATCGCGGGGGCCCGTGGCCCATACTGTCAATCTTTGCCTCCTGCTCATCCCTCCTCCCCCTCCTCCTCCTCCACCTCATCATCGTTCCTCCTCCTCCTCTTCCTCCTCCCCCTCCCTCCCCCCTCCTCCTCCTCCTCATCCTGCTGCTCTTCCTCCTCCTCCTCCTCCTCCCTCCTCCTCTTTCTCTTCCTCGTCATCCTCATCCTCATCCTCGCCCTCATCTTCATCCTCCCCATCATCATCATCACCACCACCATCATCATCACCATCATCTTCCTCATCGTCGTCGCAATTGTCATTAACGTCGTCATCATCGCCATCATCAGCAGCATCACCATCGTCGTCATGGTCGCCGTCGTGTCAGCAGGACAATCCTCGTCACCTGGCAACACAATACCCGAAAGACCCCGACCATGATACTCCACAGTACTCCCGGACGGCATCCGCCGACACCCTTGAGATGTCACCGGCGTGCAACGTACTGCCCCGACTCCGCCACCCGAAAAGCCCCAAGGACGACCACGGAACCCTCGGAGAGAACCCCCAAACACCCAGTGCATGCCTGATACCCCCCGCGACAGGGCCCCAAAAACGGCGCCCATGCGCGACGGCCCGCCCAACAGCACCCGAACACAGTTCACGGTCACCCCCTGAATCTTTCCCGCAGCTTGCAAAGAAGCCGTGATAACGACCACGCGGAAAAAAAAAGGGGTCGGCGGATGTGGCGTAAGCCTACAGAATCAATTTTGGGGTAAATCAGTTCTGTAACCGATGTCACGCGTCGCGTCACGCGGCGATGACGTCGGCGTTGGACTCTGACACCCCGCAGATTTAAACCTTGAACGATCACGGCTTCCCGATAGCGCAGATCGCTCGACATCGGCCGGTTCTGGGCAAGCTTGAACGTCCGAGCTGGCGCCGCCGCCACGTCAACGCGGCGCAAACTAGCCGTAAGCCCCCCTCAAGCCACCCGAGCCCCTCGAGCCCCCTTAAGCTCCGCTCAAGCCACCCAAGCCCGTCGTCGTCGTCGTCGTCGTCGTCCCTAGCCATTTTGGCTCAAGCTTTGGCTCGCAGCCCGGGGGGCCGCGGCGGGCTGGGACTAGCGTGCGACGGCCGCGCGCGAGGTCGCGAGCGGCGGCGCGCGACGGCGGACGGTCTGCTGGCGGCGGCGGTCCGCGCTGCGGCAGGCTCGGGGGCGACAGCGGCAGCGGCTGTGGCGGGGGCGGGGGCGGCGGCGACCCTCCAAGCTGGCACCGCCGGGGCCTTCAGAGGGGCCTGGCCGCCTGGATGGAACCTCGCCTTGCACGAGGCGGCGAAGGCGCAGACGGAGCGATGACAATGACGATGACGATGACGATGACGATGACGATGACGACATCTTCATCGTCATCGTCATCGTCATCGTCATCGCTCCAGGGGTGTGGGACGGACAGGCGAAGGCGCCGAACGAGACCCTCGCCGCGCTGGGGGTGCAGGGTGGCGCCGAGGCGGCGGGGGCCAAGCGGCCCAGGGCAGGCGGTGGCAGAAGGGGCGAGGTGCCTCGCCGCAGGCGAGGCGGGGCGGGGGCGAGGCAGGCCAGCGTCGAGCACCACACGGCGTTCAGCGCGCCGGGGGACGAGGACGGCAGCGACCCGGAGAAGGCCTGTGTCGACGGCAAGGGCGAGGAGGACGACGAAGGCGCAGAGGAGGTGCTCAAGGAGACAGGCAGCGGCAAGGAGGCCCAGGGCGGCAAGGAGTACGGCATCCACAGCGAGGTGATGATGGGCGAGAGCTGCGCGTACGACGGCGTGCAAGGCGGCTCGGACGAGGAGTGGAGAGCTCCGGACGCCAACAAGCTGGACGCCAAGGGCGCAGATGAGGTGTTAGGATGAACAGCGGCAAGGAGGGCAAAGGAGTACGGCATCGACCGCGTGGTGATGCTGGCCGAGTGCTACGAGTACGACGGCGTGCAGAGCGGCTCGGAGGAGAGGTCAGCTCGGGACGCCGACGAGCTGAACGAGAAGGGCGCAGGGGAGGTGTTCAAGGATGAGCAGTGGCAAGGAGGCCGAAGGGAATGAGCACGGCATCGACAGCGTGGTGACGCCGGCCGAGTGCTGCGAGCACGGCGGCGTGGAAGGCGGCTCGGCGGAGAGGCTCGGCGGGGCAGCCGCGCAGGACGGCCAGGGCTCGGACAGCGAGGACTGCAGCACGGAGGACGACGGCGAGGCGGAGCAGAGGGGCGACGAGCCCCATGCCGTCTGGACCGAGGGGCTCTCCAGGGAGCATGCGGCCACGGTGGCGATGCAGGCCTCGGAGGGAGGCTGGCGGCGAGGGCGCAGGCGCCGCCAAGCGACGCCGAGGCCACGTTGTCTCGGCCTCGGCGGACGCGGAAACGCAGGCGGCGGCTGGGGCGGCAGGCGCCGAGGGGGCGCCGCCGTGGAGGTCGCGGAGGCGGCGGAGAGGGCCGCGAGGAGGGCGGCAAGGTCGGCACGAAGGGCAGGGGCGGCGCTCCTGCGAGGGCCCGAGGGTGACAGGCTCGGGATTCGCCTGGACCCCCCCCCCCAAGCCCGTGTCGCGCGGTGCCTCCGCCCCGTGCTCCATCTCTTGGCGGCGAGCGAGGGGGGGAAGTGAGAAGGAGAGGGCCTTCTCAGAAGGCGGCGGGGCTTCTCAGAAGGCCTTTGGCCCACTCGGGGGCTCGCTGGGTCCTCGGGGAGGGCTCAGAAAACCTCTTCTCCGAAGGCCGGGGGACTTCCGAGGCCTCTGAGCAGGCCTTCTCCTTCTCGCTTCCCCCCTCGCTCGCCGCCAGATCTCGGCGTGCGCGGAGGGGTCAGAAACCAGCGCGGGCATGAGCATCGTTTAACCGATCCCCATCCCCAGCGGCGTGGCCGGGATCCCACCAGCCGATGTACCACCCTGGATGGAGATATAGGCCGTTCCCTTCGGGTTTCGAGGGGTGTATCCCCAACTGGGGTGGTAATCTGGTGGAGGCCTCGAAGGGGATGGGGATGGGGATGGGGGTCGGTCAAACGATACTGAGCGGCGGGGTCAGAAACCAGCGCGGGCAGGCTGCAAGCCGACTTGATCTGCCAGCGTCGTGCCCCGGGGCTTCGGTGTCGGGCGCGGGGCTGGCGGGGCGGGGTGGCCCGCGGGGCGGCGGGCGCGCGCGTCGTCGTTGTCGTCGTCGCCGCCCGAAAGCCACCTGGCCTCACGCGCAGCGCCGAGCGGTGCGCGGCGCCACGGCTGCCCCTCCGCGCTCCCGCGCCCGCACGGCCCCCCCGGAGGAGGTGAGCTCCCTATGCCCGGGGGCCGCAGGATGCGGATCGCTCTGCGGCCGCCCGCGGGAGCCGCCGATGCCGTCTTGCTGGCTCCCGCGAACCGGCGCGATCCGACGCCCATCGGCGCCAGTCGACGCTGCATCGACGCTGGATCGACGCGAATCGGTGCCAAATCGACGCTAATCGACGCTGAATCGACGCTGAATCGGCTACCAGACGCAACAGCTAACCCGTACATTGAGGACGCACGATGATGAAGTCAGGGCCTCGGAAGGTCATGTCGACACTTTGCGGGCGGGGCGCGGCCAGCGAAAGTCGCTGAGGATGGGCCGAAGGGGAAGGATGCAATGGTAACCTCGGAAAGTTGCTCAGCCTTACTCGTGCGGGTTGACTGTAGTTCGACGCACGCTGAAGCACGCTGAAGGCGGAATTTCGATGAGCACAAGGCTGCCGTGACTTGCTGCCGAAAAATCGAGGCCATCTTCGCGCCACCGTGGGTGGCCTGGGCCCCCAGCAGGAGAGCCCAGAATCGAGTCGCTCAGTCGGATCAGCGATCGAAATGAAGCGGATCGGCGGCAATCGGCAGACGAGTCGGGAGAAGTCGAACCGGCGGGAATCGGCAGGCTGGCAGGTCTCCGCTGAGCAGTCGGGATCCGAATCGGCACCCGAAGTCGAATCGAATCGGAATCCGAGGCCATGGAAATTCGAATCGGATAAGATCGGGGTCCACCAAAGGGGGGGGACCCTGGCGGGGGGTGAGTTCGATCCGCTGGTGCATCGAATGTCCGAAAAACAATGCCCCCTGCGCGCCCCGATTGTCGACGCCTCTCGGGTTCTGGCGGCGGCCGGAGACCTCGCTTTGCACAGTTTTTCTGCGGTTCGATGCGCCAACGGACCGAACTCACCCCCCCCCTGTGGCACCCCCCCCCTTTGCGAGGTACCGATAAGAGGAATCGAAACGAGCCCTGCCCAGGTCCCTTTGTCAGTCCACGAACCCCGGACCGCAGCCGGAGCCCGTCGGCGCCGCGGCGCCGCTGCCGGCGGCGCCGCTGCCATGCGCCTCTCCGACGCAGCGGGCGCACAGGCACGCAAAGCCGAACCGCCGCAGCAGGAAGTCCCGGCGGCGCTCCAGGGGCCAGGCCAGCAGCTCGTCGGGCCCGTAGTTGTGGCAGAGCTCCTCTCGCGAGGGGGCTCAACGACTGCTGCTGGCCCTGGCCTTGCGCCAGAGGGCCCCGGAGATAATTCTATCTGGACCTGCCTCGACGCATCTGGATGTGCCTCGGATCGCCTGGATTTGCCTGAGTCTGCCTGCCTTGACCCCCGCAAGTCGATTGGAGAGAAGGCGCTAACATCGGTCGGGCCTGTCCTCCTATAGGCCAATGTTCGAGGAAAAATTACACATAGTCAAAAAAAATACTCAAACATTATCATAAAAAATACGAAAAAAACAAAAATAATCCCCAGACTATTGTTTTACCATTTTTTTTTGTTCCGCTGCGGTGCTCTGAAAAAGTTCACAGGCGCCGTGGAACTCGCTGCACACCAATATTCACCGCCACGCCACTGAGCCGAGAAGCCGAGAACGTGCGGATACCTGGAGGCGCTGAGGAGCCACGGACCGCGAAAACTCGGCGGCCCGCCGGTGCGCACGAATCGGGCCATATGGAGAGCGGACGCCGCGGCCTGTGGGCCCGCCGAGGAAGGGGGCCAGGCCCACTCCCCCTCATCCCTGCCACCGACTCCACCCACCATCCAGGGGCCCCTTTTTGCTCCGTCGAGGCCAGCCACGGGGCCAGCGGGAGCGCGTGCCAGCCCCCTCGAGGGCGCGGGGGTGGGGGGGGAGGCTGGAGGGGGGTCCCCCGTTACACTGGAGACCATCGTTTTACCATGTTTGAACATTCCTCCTGTAGAGGGACAGGCCCGACTCAACGCTGAGCCCTCAGGGCTCCTCCCCCGGCCGCAGGTCGCGCAGGGCCACGACCACCAGGCGCCCGTCGGCGGGCTCCAGCTCGCCGGGCCGCAGGGCACCCAGCTGCAGCCTCACGCCCACGGTGGGGCGGCACGAGTGGTTCATCCGCGCGAAGACGCGGTACAGTGCGGCCGCCGCGCCCCACGAGCCGTTCGGGAAGCGGGACTGGTTCATCTGCCACCTGCGGTTAGGTCGGGCATGTTCCCCTACAGGCGGATCTTGGACGGAAAATTACAAATACCAAAATATATCCCCCAAAGTGCTCAAAAGTAGTCCCAACATCGTCCCCAGAAAATTTGTGTTTCAACTATGTTTGAAGTTTCCCCCTGTAGAGGGACAGACCCAACTTAAACCTGAGGGGGGGGGGAGGGCGAAGGCTGCTGCTGCGGCGCGCCGCCGCGGGGAGCCCTTGCCGCGCGCTGCCGCCGAAGAGACGCCACGCCCCCGGGCAGAAGCGAAGAGCCTGGTAGGCCCCCAACGGCGGCGCGTCATAGTCATGGATGTTCTCTGCCCTCCCGACCACCGCATCAGCGCTGCAGAGACAGACTCCACCTGCGCCCTCCGCGTGGGCAGGCTGGGGGCCAGGCCCGGCTCGCGCGCCAGGATGCTGGCGGCCTCCAGGTCCATGCGCTGCCGCATCTCCTGGACCGCCTGTAGCTGCGCGCTCCCGGCGGACAACTCCTCGAACGCCTGCCGCGGGGAGACGCCTCCTCCGGGGCGACGAGATCTATTCCCCAATCAGTGCTTGCACTGAAGGGGTCCTAGCGGAAATTGAAAGATTTGGCGAAAATGTCCCGCCGATTCTAGTGGCCGGCTGGGTTCCCGGGTTCCCGGCTCTGGGTTCCCGGGTTCCTGGTCATTGGTTCTGGTCCGATTTCGGTGGGTTCCGAGTTCCCGGGTTCCCGGGTTCCTGGTCGATCTCCTTATCGATCTCTTTATCGATCCCATTTCAAACCATCCACTGATTGGGTTTTTCTCTGGTGTAATACGTGTTCCCCGCCGCTGACCAGGCCCATCCTGGGCCCAGGAGCGGTGTATACGTCCCCCTGGCTTGGCCAGGGAGGCATGTACACCGCTCCTGGGCCCAAGACATGCCTGGCCAGCGGCGGTGGAGATGTATATCTGAAGGCCTCCTGGATGGGATCGGAGTAGATGGGGTCCGAGGATCGCGCCGCATCGCCGATGCATCGGGGATTCACCAGCGGCGCATCGTCGACGTCGGCGATGCACCGGCGACGTCGACGTGCAGCAAATCGGGCTCCTCATCGAGCTGCATCGGCGATGCGGCGCAATCCTCCGACCCCAGCTCATCCGACCCCATCTAGGAGGCCTAGAATATCGATCCCGTCGTCCCCGCCTCCTCGCTGAGCCGACGCGCTGCCCATCGCCGCGCAGGCCTCCCAGCGGGCCTGCCACCCATCGCGGGCGCTGGCCGACACCACGGCGAAGGGCTGCTCGTCGAACACCACCTCGCCCTGCGGGCAGCGCCTCGCCACGGCCAGCCCTCGGCCGGCCGGCCCCGGCGCCCCGAGCGGCCCGACGCTGGCGGCTCGGGCGGACCCCTCAATGGCTCGGCGGCGCAGGAAGGGGCCCGGCGCGAGGGGGGCGACCCTGCCTCAGCAGCGGCGCAGGATCGGGTGCTGCCGGGAGTGCCCCCGGCCCAGGGTGCCCCCAGGATCTCCGAGGAGGCCCCCACGGCACCCCTCACGGGGCGGCATGGGCCCCAGGGGCCCCAGAATGGAGCGAGAAGACCGGGGGGCACCCTGGGCCGGGGGCACCTGCAGCAACCTCCGACGGGAGGGTGGCGCGGGGGGGTCTCCAGCGCGCGTTTTTCGTGCGAGGGGGGCGGTCTGCTAGGCACGGGGGAGGGGTGGCTTCCGAGAAGGAGGGGGGGGTCCTCAGAAGCCCTCTCGACTTCTGTGGAGGCTCCTCAGAAGCCTCCCAGGCCTTCTGAGCGGGCCCCGCCTGCTGAGGAGCCGCCGCCCCGCCTTCTGCAGAAAGCCGCCCCCCTCCCGCCACCCCCCTCCGCGCGCCGCCGACTGGCTCCGGGCAGGATGCAGAAGCTCCGCTCGATGTCGCCCTCACTGACCAGGACCTCCTCCTCCACGTCCGGCGCCCCGACACCGCCGCGCTGCGCGCCGTCGTCCCCGACGGGCCGGACGCGCCAGCGCTGCCTTTCAGCGTCGAATGCCTCGACGGTGCCTCTCCTTCCGGAAGACTCCCCGCACTGAGGCCGAAAAAGCACCGTGGCCCCCGGATGCAGGGCCGACTCCAGAGGTTCCCAGAACAGCGGCCCCGCGATGTCGCGATAGCGTTTCTCGCGACGACTGGATCTGCTATGAAATGAAGGAAGCAGGGGACGTCTGCATCTCCGCCGGCTCCCTGAATGGCCAGAGAATGGCTCAGGGCGATGGGGGCATGAGCTTCAGGGGACCGGGAGGGCCCGCAGATCAGGTGGCGCGCGGGGGCCATGGGGAGCATCCTCTTCCTGCATTTTCCTGCGCCTCCTCCATTGTTTTCTCCTCCCCCTCCTCCTCGTCTTCCACCTCCTCCTCTTCCTCCTCCGCCTCCTCCTCCTCCTCCGCCTCCTCTCCTCCTCCACCTCCTCTTCCTCCTCCTCCTCCTCCTCCTGCTCCTCCTCCTCCCCATCCTTCTCCTCCCCCTCCTCCTCCTCCTCCTCCTTTCTTCCTCCCTCCTCCTCCTCCTCCTCCTCCCCACTCCTCCTCATCCATCATGCATCATCAATCATCATCATCAATCATCATCATCATCATCATCATCATCATCAAATCAAAATAATCAGAATCAGAAAATCAAGAAGAAACACACACACATCAGCATCATCATCATCATCATCATCATCATCATCATCATCATCATCATCATCATCATCATCATCATCATCATCACCATCAACATCAACATCACCATCATCATCATCAGCAGCATCAGCATCAGCATCAGCATCAGCATCAGCATCATCATCACCATCATCATCATCATCATCATCATCATCATCATCATCATCATCATCCTTGTTCCCCTCCTTTGTGTTGTCTGCATTATCATCATAATCCCCTGTCTCCATCCTCTTCCCCTCTCTTTCTCTCTCTCTCTCTCTCTCTCTCTCTCTCTTTCTGTCTGTCTCTCTCTCTCTCTCTCTCTCTTTCGTCATCCTCCTACTCCTCCTCGTTGTCCTCGGACTGGCGGCGACAATCACGTTCCCGGAAGGCCTTCTGGCAACATGATGGTTGCGTCCGTGTTGAGGCCCTCGTGGAGGCCTTTGTAGGGCCCCCCCTCTAGGGTGTCGAGCCTCGTTTGGGGGCCGTCGTAAGGCCTCTTGGTCTAGCTTGGCCACCGCATGGGCCGTCTTGGCGCCCTCTCGGGGCGTGTTGGTGCAATACGGGGAGCGTCTTGGACAGCGTTGGAGCGTCGGGCAGCAGAACAGACGACAACGGGAAGATATGTGAGAACCATCTCCTCCAAGGACTCGCGGCGACGATCGCGTTCCTGGAAGGCTCTCCGAGAAGATGGTGGCTGCGGCCTTCTTGGGGCCCTCGTGGAGGCCTCTGTAGGGCCGCCCTTTAGTGGGCGTCGAGGCTCATTAGGGGGCCGTCTTTAGGGCTTCTCGGCCGCCTGCAGACCCCCTTTTGGGGTGCCGAGGCTCGGTTGAAGGGCAGTCTTGGAGCGCCTTGAGTCCTTTTGGGCCGACTGGACGCCCTCTTGGTATGTGCAGGTCGGGCATGTCCCTCTACAGGCGGACTCTGGACGAAAAATAAAAAACACTCAATAAAATACTCCAAAATGTGAATACTCAAAAAACGTCCCATGATTTTTTTGACTATCTTTAATTTTCCTCCTGTAGAGGGAAAGGCCCGACTTAATGGTATGTGTCGGGGCTCTCTTGGAGAACTCTTGTGCCGTCTCCGAGCGCCGGGAAGCAGAGCAGGCGACAACGGCAAAATCCTTGAAACATCTAAGGCACATCACTGACTGTTGCCTACTGGGCTCTCTCGGGGAGCAGATTGGAGCCCTCTTAGGGCGTCTTGGAGGCCTCGTAAGCCGTCTCGAAGCAATGGTGGGCGTGCTGCGGTCGCTTTGGGGCCCGATGGGTCCCCTTTGGCGTGTGCAGGAACACTTGGGAGGCGGGCCGTCTTGGGGCCCCTTGGGCCATCTTTGGCGCCTCGGGCTGCTTGGGCGCCCTCCTTGGACTGGTTAACGCCCTCTTGGGCGCTCTTGTGCCGTCGCCGAGCGTCGGGCAGCGGAGCCGGCGACGCCGGGAAAATCTAAGCAAAACCAAAAAGGAAAATCAACGGCTTCCGCCTATTAGGGCTCAGCTGGAGAACACTTTGGAGCCCTCTTCGGGCGTCTTGGAGGCCTCATTGGCCGTCTCGACGCAATGGTGGGCGTGCTGCGGCCGCTTTGGGGTCCCGAAGGTCGCCTTGAGGGCCCTTGTGGCGTGTCCAAGCTAATTTGGGGGGCCGCCTTGAGCCCTCTTTAACCATTCTGGGCGCCTCTTGGGCCGTCTCGGCGCCCTCTTAGTGTGGGTTGGGGCCCTCTTGGACGCCTCTTGTGCTGTCTCCGGGCGTCGAGCAGCGGAGCAGGCGACCACACGAATATCCTCGTAAAACCTACGGCAACTTAATGATTTTGCCCGTTGGGGCTCTCTGGGAAAGCAGGTTAGACCCCTGTTGGGGCGTCTCGGAGGCCTTGTGCGCCGTCTCGAAGCAATGATGGACGTGGTGGGAGCGTTTTGGTGCTCTCTGGGCCCCCTTGAAAGCCCTACTGGAGGATCGAGGCTCGTTTGGCCCCCCATGAAGCACTCTGGCACCGGTCCAGGCCCCGCCTGGGGCCTACAAGTGCGTGCGTGTAAGTGCAAGCGTAAGTGTGGAAGTGCAAGTGTAAGTGCAAGTGCAAGTGCAAGTGCAAGTGTAAGTGTAAGTGTGAGTGTAAGTGTAAGTGTAAGTGTATGTATATGTGTATGTGTAAGTGTAAGTGTAGGTGAGTATAAGTGTTGGTGTGAGTGTAAGTGTAAGTGTAAGTGTAAGTGTGAGTGCAAGCGTAAGTGTGAGTGTAAGTGTATGTGTAAGTGTAAGTGTAATTGTAAGTGAAAGTGAATATGGAATCGTAAGTGTAAGTGTAAGTGCAAAGTGGAAGTGCAAGTGAAGATGTTCGTGTAAGTGCAAGTGTAACTATTAGTGATAGTGTTAGTGTTAGTGGAAATGATAATACAAGCGAAAGTGTGAGTGCAAGTGTAAGCGCACATGTAAGTGCAAATGTAAATGCAAGTGCAAGTGTAACTGTTAACGTTAGTGTGAAGGTGAGTGTAAGTGTAAGTGTAGATGTAAGTGCAAGTGCCAGAATGTGCGCAGGTGATGGCGCGTGTAAGTGTGTGTAAGTGTGTGTAATTGTAAGTGCAAGTGTGTGTAAGCGTATGTGCAATGTTAAGTGCAAGTGTAAGTGCAATGTAGGTTTATGCGTCAGCGTGGGTGAAAGCGTAAGTATAAGCGTGTGCAAGGCGCCGATTTGGTGGCCGGCGGCCGGGTGCCTGGGGGTGCCCGGGGGTGCCCGGGTGCCCGGGTGCCCGGGTGCCTGGGTGCCTGGGTGCCCGGGTGCCGGGTGCCTGGGTGCCCGGGTGACCGTATGCCCGGGTGCCTGGGTGCCCAGGTGCCCGGGTGCCCAGGTGCCCGGTAGCTCTGTATAGCCCTATAGCCCTGGAGCCCTATAGCCCTAATAGCCCTATAGCCTTATAGCGTTATAGTCCTATAGCCCTATAACCCTATAGCCCTATAGCCATACAGCCCCATAACCCGATAGCCCAATAGCCCTATAGCCCTATGGCCCTGTAGCCCTGTAGCCCTATAGCCCCATAGCCTTCTAGCCTTCTAGCCCTATACCTATACCCATAAAGAAATAAAGAAAAAAAAAAAAAAAAAAAAAAAAAAAAATAATACAAAAGAGGAAAAAAAAAAAAAATAAAAGAATAATAAAAAAAGAAAAAAAAAAAAAAAAAAAAACAAAAAAAAAAAAAAAAAAGAAAAAAAAAAAAAAAAAAAAAAAGAAAAAAAAAAAAAAAAAAAAAAAGAATGAATAAAAAAAATAAAAACATAAAAAAAAACATAAAAAAAAGAAAATAGGAAAAAAGGTAAAAAAAAAATAAAAAAAAAAAAAAATAAAAAATTAAAATAAAAAAAAACAAAAAAAAAAATAAAAAAAAATAAAAGATAAAACAAAAAAAGAAAAAATAAAAGTAAAAAAAAAATCGAAAAAAAATAATAAAAAAAATAAAAAACAAAATAAAAAAAAAAGAAAAAAATAAAAAAAAGTAAAAAAGAAGAAAAAAAGAAAGAAAAAAAAAGAAATGAAAATAAACAAAAAAAGAAAA